AATTCCTGTGAATAATTATTTAAATTTCTAATTATCAAAAATGTGTCAACAAAATATTATGCAGGCACTTATACATAACGTAATATGTAAGTATGATAATCTTTAAACATTCAATAAGTGGACCATATGTTGATTTATGTGAAAGTATTTCGTAATATTCATTACCAAATATTGTTCGCTAGAGTATATCTGATTTTTACTTTCTAAAGTAGGTGAAAGCGCTCGAGGTGTATTATGCGTCGTCAACGAAGGTTGCTTCTTGCTTTTATCTCCGACGGTTACGTTCGGGATGCGTAATAAATTGCATCCATAAAATTCATATTTATTCATTTATGGGCGATAAATATTGAAATTGGTTAAAGAAATAGATCAGGCGATTTTTTATAGAAAGTTTCTCATCTTCGTCGTTAACATACTTTTTTATGTAAACTGGGTGAAACGTATTTTCTGCGCGATTATCAAGTTATAAATTATTTGGTTAGCTTGGTAAGTGTATTATACATAATTAATATAGGGGCCAATTCTCCGATAAAATAAAGATGTTACGGCAACGCTATGTTATGGTTCTATGTTCATAAAAAATTAAAAAAAGACTTGGACCTATTTGCTCTCTGATCATATAATTGACCAGGTGAATTTTTTTTGGAAAACAGCAAAAAACACATTTCTACAATGATAAGCTGGGCGTTTTACTGAACATAGTCAGATAGTTGTTTATATGATATGTGTTATTTGTTGTGATACTATTGGTTTGGATTTTACAATATAATTGCTCAAAATTAAATTGGACCTTTGTGTTCCGCCTAGAGATGAGCTTATCATATCCGAAGCCGGATCGATTAATATTTGACTCCGCTTTATAGAAAAGTTATATCCACTTAACAACTCCACAACTCCGACAACTTTGAAACATAATACTTGACACAATTGTGTTCTCTAGTTAACATATCTAAGGATTTATTGATACTTTGGAAATAGTTTATGAATAGTTCAAACATTTTTGTTTATTTTATTATAATAAATACTATTTTCTGCATTTCAATATGCATGAAAATCTCAAATTGACAAAAAACTTGGGAATCAAAACCAATTTTGTAATTATTTTTGAAGAGAAAATATAGAATTCTTTGAATATGTTTGTTTTTATATGAAAATAATACAGTGAACCTTATATATGAAATAAGAACAAATCTTTGTATATAATATTTTCCACAAAATAATAATACCTCACATTCTTTTATTATTTACTTTTCGAGAATTAATTATACATCAGGTAGTTTGACTATCATACTATTACTTTTACACAATTATAAAATCATAATTTTGTAAAAGTTATTATATAATACTAAATATTTTTTAGCTGGTTGTATACCATTGAAAGAGCTCATTTACGGACAAACGTTATCGTATACAGAATATAGAAGACAAAATAGCATTATTTTGAGACATTATAAAAGTCCTAAAACTGTCTGTGAGACGAGAAAAAAACACTTCTTTCGACCCAAGTCTTTGTATTAGTAAAAAATCTCAAGCAAATATCTGGACATGTTAACAGATTTAGTACTAGTTTAGGGAAGTCGGATATGACAAATCCTGTGAGAAAACTCCACTCGGATTCACTCCAAGGGAGGAGTTGAATCGGAGTGATAACTCCGGAGGGAGTTACCCATCTTTTCCGCCCTACCCTATATATAAATATAACTTATGTAGATATTTATTAATTTTATTACCATTTGTTACCATTAGACTATTAGGCCATAATAGTACATACGTGGCAAAAAATATTTTCTATGGAATTATATAGAACGCAATTCAGTACAAATCCGATGCAAAGTCTAAAGGACCTCTAACTATCTGATCTTCTTCCATAAAAATTATTATCAGAGCAATATGCGTGCTAGCACCACAAATTAGCATCAAAACAAAACTATAATATATGGAACAACAAATTTGTTCTACATAAATCTCATGTTTATTGCCATTTTGAGATGCATCAATAATATTTATTGTTTTCCGGTTGATTCCATATGTTATCTGTTGCATTAAAATCATTAATAATGACGACAAGCATATAATCGTTTTGCAAAGATAAGTTTGCATCCATTATTTTATGAGGACACAAAAAAATTTATCAGTTTGCGAGGACATTGGAATATTTTATATTTTATGACCTAGTTGTGTTATTTGTTTGGTAACAGTTTTTGAAAAATGAAAAACAATGTGCTCTCATTTTAAGACATTATTTTGAACTAATTTGAATAGAGATTGTTTGTGTATGATCTGTAATGATGAAACTTTTCCCTAATAACGTTGCTTTTTAGGAGGCAACCCAAAGGTTTTTTATTATTAAAATATCTTAACGGGTGATTTTTGAAATTTGATGAAACCTTGTTGGTAAGCCCAGTTCTTGCTCTTAACCAAATGTGAGATTCATATCTTCAAGAGAAATGGATATAACTGCTGCTGCATGATATCTAAATTTTTTCATACTCTTATATTTGGCATTCAAATATTTTATAATCACAGATTTTTCTTAAAATTTTAATATTCTTCCTTTCCATTTATTAGTATCAATAATTTTAATATCCTTGATAAATCGACATTATCTTATTTTAATTCTCAATTACTAGATAATATAATCTTGTACTTACACCTTGTCTAATATAAACCTGTCTTCAAGTCAAATTCTATAATATTATGATACATTTAAGTCAATATTCTGATCGATGATGTTTTGATTGATAATACTTGATAATATTAGCACATGTCGTTCTATGTAAACTTTCCTGTCAACGCATCAATTTTCTCCTGACTGAGCAGACTATTTACATATTTGCTATTTTGCAAATACATAGTCCCATTTTTTTTTAAATATTAGTAATGTTGAATGAATTATATACCCATTGGTTATCGATATAGTCAAAAAACAACATTTTAAAAATATTATAAAAAATATTTATAAAGACCTTAATTATGACCAAATCATTACCTTGTAAGAGTTAGTTCACCAATATCAAGCCCCTGTCAAATCTTTATCTTTTATATTATTTTTCCCGTGGTAAACAACTCTGAATCAGTCTAATCAAGATTTTTTATACCTTCTAACAAAGATTAATTTATAAAGAGTTGAATTTTGTTCAAGAGTCATCTATGTCTACTGACTAGGGACCAAAGAGTCGACTCGCAGGAAATAAGAATTATCCACTTGCTCTACAGGCGAGCTAATATACTCTCAAAGCAAACTGTTGCCCAATGGACAGAGTTTTAAAACACTGTCGATATTTTTATTTATTGAATTTTTATATTCTATTTGTGGACTTATAAGATTCCAAGACTGCTAAAACGTTTCATCACAATCGTCAAACTTAAATTCGAAGCCGTTGATGAATAATGTTTAATTTTTGTTCTAATTCCTCAAAACATTGCTCGACTGATCATCAAGAAACCTTTTTATCCAAGTTTGTAGTACACATAATATAAAAATTTTGTCAACTTGTAAAGGGTCCGCCATCTAACTTTTGCAGCCATTTTGAATCTTTAGCATCCTTTGTTGGCATTAATTTTGATTTTTTGGCAACCATTTAAAAGTTAGGCTACCATTTGCATTTCCCTTACAAACCAAAACTCTTATTTCAAATTAAAAAAAAATCAGTAGTTTTTTATAGAATTTTCAAAAAAAAAAGTTATTTGGCGGACCCTATATTATTAATTTATCAGATCAAGAAGTTGAATATAAAATAATCAAGCGAAATCGAAAGCTGTTTGATGTATTATTTGAATTACTTACAATTATCAATTTTTAGATATTGATACTGTTTGGTATATTGTAAAAGTAGATAATTGAACATTTTTATTTTATTTTATATTATGAAACATATGCGACTCTTCTGTATCCAAAATTTTGTGCAAATTTATATTCACATCAGGTTTCTGTATATAATAATGATTCTGATAAACAATACATCCATGAGTAGTCAAGGTCTCCTTATTGGTTTGCCGCAAATATAACTCAAGAACATTTTACTATATGGAGTTATTGGTAATTTTATCTTTGCAATAATTACGTAACTATAATATAAAATTTTAATTATTTAAACTTGATGAAATCTATTTGATAAAACCAATCACACTACACAGATCTAAAATGAATTTTAGGTTCTGATGATTCTAGGGAAACTAATCAATTAGGAACAAAATCCGTGTGTTGATAAAATAAATAAATAAACTAAATCAACAAATTATGTATACAAATAAACTAAATTATTATTAATATATTTTAGGCGATGTCTGAATCACAATAGTTTAGCTTTTCTCACAGAAACTGTTTGTAGTACCATCAATTTCATTATTCTAAAAGTTAGTACTATAAGTGATTTTTAAGGACTTTTCATTATTAAATTCAAACTTTAATTTTATTTATTATTTTATTATAGAGATTTTCAATTGTGTAATAGAAACATTTTGGCTGACAAGACAAAATGCACTTTGCTATATAATTCCCTCAAATTATATATAAATATCTAATTAGTATACTAAATTTCCTCTCTCATTATAATAATATTTATTTCTATTAAATTATTTATTAAGAGACATCTCAAATAAGTACTAAAATAAATAAATGAATTTGAATCGAATGTATTTTTAAACGAGTAATTAAATATTAACAAATACTCTCTTAATGCCAGTAGTTGAATGAATGAATCTGAATTTGGATTGAATGAATTTTTAAACAAGTAATAAATATTATTTTTATGGTAATTTTAGTTGAATATTTAAGAAAATACTGCTTAAAATAATTTGCATCATAAATATTTCATGATCAATTGGCACATTTTTAACTAGTCTGACCAGACTTCTTTCAAAAACAAAGCAAGTCAGTCAACTTTTATCGAATATATTGTTCTGCAAATGTTGATTTTATTTTTATTGCGGGAATAATTTCATATATATTTCTTATTCATGTTTAATCTGTTAAACTAAATATTTATTATAATTTTCAGAGAAACGATCTCGTCTGTACCTCTGGTTCTGTGCCGGTGGTGTTGACCCTGCCGATCCTCATCATCCAATAGACAACAAAGAGCACGTCTTGATGGCCTTCATGAGGGACAAAGTGGCAGCAGCCATCAACTGTGGATGGGTTAAGGCTTTCATTTTAATTGCATTTGCTGCTTATCTTGCAGGTAAATCATATTAATATTAATCAGTAAAATGTGATAGACGAGCATACTCGTCATGGAGAAGGATGCTCATTTTCTATTAGGGTAGGTAAAAATTATGGTATCAAAATAATTTAAAAAATAATTAATTTTTTTTAAGGTGCTGGTTATGGACTGACACGTATGCGAGAAGGTTTAGAGCGAAGAAAATTATCCAGATCTGATTCCTATTCAGTGGAATTCTTTGATCGAGAGGATAAGTACTATAGAGAGTTTCCATACAGAATACAAGTAAGATATTCAGATTATAATAACCAACAACGCAACAACTATGTTATCAAATATGTGATGTGATACATATTTTTGCTTCATATTATTTTTTGGTTCAATTACTATTTGATTTTTTACTAATTTGTAAGAACTGTTTAATGGTCACTGTTACTATTTAGGTTATAATCAGTGGAGAGCACAACTATTCTGATCCTTGGATTCAAAACGAAGTAGAAACATTAACGCAACGACTAGAAAATTCATCTTACATCACATCGCCATTGTACACAGAATCTTGGCTTAGGAGCTTCTTGAGCTACGTTGAACGCAACAATGATTACCTCAATATAACCATGGACGAAGAAGAACCTTTCCTAGAAGCTTTGAAAGAGGTACAAATTGATACAATTCAAATGCCATTTGCAATTCATAATTTTTCATTTATTTATTGTCAATTTAGCTATGGCTTTTCCCGGCAAATCCGTTCTCTCTGGACGTAAGTTTTAATAAAGCCGGTGATAGAATCCAAGCATCCAGGTTTCTAATTCAAGCTGTCAACATCAGTGATACAAATCACGAGAAGGAAATGGTCAAAGCTTTGCGTCAGATTTGTCATGAGTCTCCTTTGAATGCCAGTGTCTTCCATCCATATTTTGTGTTCTTCGATCAAGTAAATTATTATTTATTACAAGTTTTTCCATATTAAAAATATAAATGTACTAATTTGTGTGTCGTCTATTTCAGTTCGAATTGGTTCGTCCGACATCCATCCAAAGTATGATAATTGGTGCCATCATAATGATGATTATTTCCTTTGTATTTATACCAAATTTCCTTTGTTCTCTGTGGGTTGCGTTCAGTGTTGTTTCTATCGAACTCGGAGTTGCTGGATACATGTCGTTGTGGGATGTTAATTTAGATTCAGTTTCTATGATTAATTTAATTATGTGCATAGGATTTTCCGTAGATTTCACAGCGCACATCTGCTACGCGTATATGTCATCAAAAGCAGAAGATCCAAAAGAACGAGTTCGGGAATGTTTATATTCTTTAGGTCTTCCTATAGTGCAAGGATCCTTTAGTACTATTCTTGGAGTCCTTGCTCTGGTTTTAGCTGGAAGTTATATCTTCTTAGTATTCTTCAAAATGGTGTTCCTCGTTATCTTCTTTGGAGCCATGCACGGATTATTCTTACTGCCTGTTCTGTTATCATTATTTGGACCAGGTTCCTGCACATACAAATCTGATAAATCTAGAGATTCACATTTAGACAGGTACCCACCACCATATATAATTCCAAACAACTCCCAACTCGCCCTAGCTGGTAGCCCTTATGGCGGCAAAACATTTTTGGGAAGTCCATACAAGTTATATGGCGATGATAAAGATTTAGGAATTGGTACATCTGGAGAAGACACTAGCGAATCTAGTTCTAATAAAAGTCAACGTCGGGAAGCCTTAGAGGATGAGAACACAAGAAGGCGCTATGAGGAAGGATGGCGAAGATCAGCACATGTAACATCTCAATTCCAACCTGTGCAAGTGCTGGATATATATGGTCATGAAGCTGAAAAAGCTTGGAGACGTGGAAGGAGTTTCAATGAAGCTAAAGCAAGGAAAGATTCTAGGAGAACTTCTCCATATGGTGAAAGAAAATTATCATATGAAGAAAGAAAGTTGTCCTATGAAGAGAGGTTGCCTTCAAGGGAAGATTGGAGGCAATATGGAGATGATTTGTCTTATGGAAACTCAAGACGATCATCTCAAGAAGAAAGTACTAGGAAATACAGCGACGAAATGAATAGATACAGAAGGTACTCTCCACCAGAAGGTATGTACAAGCAGAATCCTCAAAAATATTCATCTCAACACAGCTTGTACCATTCGAAAATGAGATATAATCCAAACTAGCACATAGAAGCAAATAGCTGACAAAATGTTCATGTTTGTGTCATCCCTTACCTTCAGTGGTAAGATTCTAAATCAAGTTTGATAGGAACATTAAATAAATTATAAATTTTTAATTGATTTTGCTTTCGTGTTTTTAAATATTGTTTTGGTGTTTTGTTTTAAATGACATTTTTAGTTGTTAAGATCACATTAGTCAATCTATTTATTTATATATAATGTTTTTCATACGATATCAAACTAATTTATAAGCTTGCCAATAGAGACCTTGACAAACTGGAAAAATAGTGTGCTAGAATGTACTGTTAATGTTTTGATAGTGTAGATAATACTGGTCTGTTAATGTTATATATTTTGCTACCTATGTAATAGTTAAATCTCAATTTTAACGAGTAATCTATTGGTAATTAGATTAGTGTATATATATTTTAGATACAATGTAAATATATAGAAATATAAGTAACTCTAATACTTATTTCTGTTATGACGACATAAAATAACACCTCAATTATTAATTCAAATAGGTGTTGAATTTTATGTTATGTAATTTTAATATTTTATTCTAAATAAATGTATTTTTTACAATTGTAATAAATATAATTTTTTAAGTTAAATTAATTTTTTTACTAATGCATAATATCCTGATGATACTTTGAAAATTTCTGCTTATTTATGAGTTATTCAATTCTTTCAAATATATTTATCTCAATATTATACCTTTAAATAATCCATAGAATTTGTATTAATTTATCATTTCATATCATATAATAATAAAACAGAAAAACAGCGAAAAAATAGTAAATACTTTAACCCAATTAAAAATATTATAAAACCGACATCCATTTTCTACCAATTCTTACATTACTTGATAAAAATTTTACCAGAGTTTCACAAAAGTGTTTACAATTGATACTTCAAAATGAATGACATATTCTAACTAATCATGGCCTAATTTGACCACAAATTTTGTATATGTCAATTTTTTTATAAATTAAAAAATTAATAAAAAAATGTATAAATAAACACCAAAAGACTGGTTGCCGAACCTAAAAAATATTTTATATGCGATGGATGTGAGGGAGATCATTCAAAATGTATTTGGCGAAGAATATAAAAAAAGTGAACTTCAAGATCTTTCAAAGGCCGTTGACTCGGATCAGGAAATGAAATTAATTGATGACCTTAATGCTTGGCTTAAGGTTTTTTTAAGGCAGGAAGGATCAGCTGGATATGTCGCGCCTCCTGATGTTAGGGATGGACGTTTGGGTCCTGCTTTGGTAATAATTGATTTTTGAGAACATTTAAATATTCACTGTAAAAATTAGACTCTGCTTCAAACCTTATTTAATACATATTTAATAATATTGAAAAGTTATTTTGTATTTTGCTCAAAGTAAAATAAAATGTATTGGACAATGTCTTCTCCTATTCCTCCTATTCCAAATTCAAGTATTTTCCCTTATTTTTTGCCTGACTTTAAGTATGATAATTAATAAAACTGTTAAATAAATATATTAAAAATCACTATCAATTAATATTTTCTAGGTTCGTTTTGACACTACTGCACATTCTGGTCTATTCATGATAAGTCCAGACAGACTCAACGTGCAGTCTCAAAGCAACTTTGCCTCAATCAAAGCCAATGTTTGTGTTTTTTCTGGAAAATGGCAATTTGAAGTACAACTTGGAACCAAAGGAGTCATGCAAGTCGGTTGGTGTACATCTAAATGTCGATTTTCTCAAGATGCAGGAGTTGGTGATACCATCAACTCATATGCTTTTGATGGAAACAGAATTAGAAAATGGAATGTTTCGACCTCGAAGTATGGACAAGCTTGGCTGAGTGGTGATATTATTGGATCTTGCATAGATCTTAATAAAGGAACAGTGCATTTCTTGAGGTAAAGCAATAATTAATTCAGTGTAGATTTATCTGACTAATGTATTATATTTTTCAGAAACGGTGTAAATATGGGAGTAGCATTCGATTCCTTAATTCTAGGGCCTGGTATAAGTTTTTTTCCAGCCGTTTCTTTGGCTTACAATGACAACCTTTGCGCAAATTTTGGAGGAACACCGTTGCGCTATCCAGAAGAAGATTACCAGCCACTACAAGTACAAGGCACATTGTGTATAATAGTTTCTAATTTATATATTGAAGTAACTGGTATTATTGCAGGCACCTCCTCATGCAGATATAATTAAAGCTAATTTTCTCTTGAAATATTTGATGAAATTGATATCTTTGTCTGACCAAATGCAAAATGGGAAAGATACTAGTACTTCAGTGTCTTTGTTGTCGAAGGATGCTGTGTATATGAGAATTTCTTCTGTTATAATGGAGAATTTAGGACCATTATTGACAGACAGTTATATTGTGGCGGATTGTCTTGTACCTACACTACTTTCCATAAGTAAAAACGGGTAAAATAATCTCACTTTGATGAACGCCAGTTGCTTTTTTAAGTGATGCTCAAAAATTTATAATTATTCCTTGTTTTATCTCTTAAAGAATATTATTGTGTATTTTAGCAAAAATAATAACAGCAAAAAAGTTCCTACTACTAATCGTCGATTATTAGCCCTCTTTGATACCTTCTGGTCATTCTGTGAGGAGCATGAAATGGGAAAATGTATCGACAACATGTTTCAATGCATATTATGTACTTACAAACAAGTTTCTAAAAATCTCAAATTCGATCAACAAAAAACGAGTTTATCTCTACTCTGCGAAGTGCTAAAACACGAACAAACCAGGAAATTTATGCTGATGAATCTTCTTTTTCGAAAAATTGGGTATGACGCAACTTGGTCTTTTCAATATTATGAATTTTAAGTTGACACGTGTTTAGTTAATATAAACTTTAGTAGATTTGCAAATTTCATGCATCTCAAACCACTTGATGAACCGAATCTGGCGGATGTTGTTCCCGATGCTTGGTGGCCATCAAATTCACCAGATCCTGAACGTGATCGATATAAGAAATCGTATATGGAATCTGTGCAAAGAATCCGAGAAGCTACTTCTAGTTTAGAAGAGATGCAAGTGGAAATGCTTCTGCTTCTTTTAGATAATTCAGATGGTACTAAGGTAAACGACTACATTCGTCAAAAATATCAACATTAATGATCAATATGGCTAATAAATTAAGAATGTCTATGAAATAGTTATATGTACAATTATTTTTCGGTCTAGACTGATCCATCTTCCAGAAAAATCTTCACAATGAGATTTCGTAGATACGTTCATGATCATTTGATCAATAGCAAGGTGAGTTTTCTAAATGAAGGTAAAATAATTCTAAAATTCAAGGTAGTTCTATGATTATTCAATTTGTCAGAATATAAGTGTATCAAGTAATTGAAAACAAAAAACTGAGTTTTAAGTTTAATTTAATTTTTATTCTATTACGGTTTTACTATAAATATTATTGTCTCAGAGTATAGCTGCTCAGTTTCCGCCTCCAGTTTCCTTGTGCACATTTCATAGACTTTTGACAGCCCTGGTAAGAATTTGGACAAGAGAAGAAGAATCTGAACCCAAAAAACGACGTACGGAACCACATATACCAAGTCGCTTATTTTATGATGGCAGTGTCGAATATTATGGAATTGATCGTTTAGGTAAAATAAATGAAACAGATCAGTAAAACTAAAATTTTCTTTTTGAAATGAGTTAGTATTTTATGTAACATAATTCACCCTTATTCTTTGGTAAAGCTGTTTTTAACACTCCAATGTAAACTCCTAAACAGAATTATAAAAATATTAAAGTTAGCATTTCAACTACAAATTATTCAGAATAATAATAAAAATGAATAATTTTCTTAAATTAATTATTTTAGGAGGTGTATTATCACATATTAGAAAAGTATTTAGAGCGGATCTAATAGAACAATTAGGGAATGAACACCCGACGCTTGTAAATGCAGAAAACCCAGTCCAAGATCCTGATCTAGACGATATGAGTGAGTCCGGTTTGTACAATTTTTTATATATTTCGTATACACAAATTATATCATAATATGCTTTTTATATACCTTTAATAACTGGATATCATAAATAAAAGTTGCTATTTGAATTGCTCGTACATCATAATCCACAGATGTATGCCTATACCTTAAGATATGCTTTCCTTTGGCAGTGTTAGATAATTCATCAAACAACGATTAAAATTCTTATGACTATTTTGAGATTTTCCCTAATAGAGAACTGGTGCAATTATGAGACGAATATTAATCGTTGTACAGGTTTCCTTTTCTCTGTGCACAGATATTATGGATGCCGCTCTCGGCCTTTTTCTCGCAGGGCCATCCGGACAACCGATGGCCAACTCCGACACTCCGGTCTTTCCGGCACTTGCCAGGGCCATGAACCAACCAAGTGCACAACTTCTATTATCCAGGTAACTGTAAAATAATAATTTTAGGAAATATTGTTCTTTTGGGATGGTTCGTTTTTAGGGATTTGACTTTGGTTTACTTTAATATTTAGTTGTAATATTTTTCTTAAGTAGATTGGCGCACAATACAGGAGCCTCAAGGGGGGCCAGCAATCCTATAAGTCCAGGGCCTATAGACGCCAGGGCATCGCGATATGAAATTTTGGATGGAATCATCATGTATTACCATGCTCTTGCACATCGGCAATTGACCAAGGTTTATAAAATTTAATCTTAATGTCGATGAATTTTATTTAGTTGTAGTGCAAGATTTCTGTAGTTGAAGCAATTACTGAAACAATTAAAATATTTAATTTATTTATTACTTTATTTCTTTATTTTGAGAAAGATCGGCGATTTGAGAGATCATCAGGCCGAACTATCAGCTGCGTTGAAGGATGCTCGTGATAGACAGCAATTTGTTCACCGGGAAATGCTTGCTGGCTTGCAGGTTAATTTTATGTTATTAGTTATTAAGAAAAATTATTCGAAAGATATATTTACTGAATTATTTTGCCATCTTTGTGTTTTTTTTTCAAGGATTATTTTTTTTGAAAATCAATTAATTTCTGTTATTTATAATACATCTAAAATAAATATTAATATCAAATCTCATTTCACCTTCAAGGCTTCTGAAAAAAACAATGGAACAACAGTTGAATCTGCAATTCGAGATCAGAAGACTGAAAAGGTTGACGACTATGAAACAGCTAGTGAAGTTCTGGCCATTCTTCAAGAATCTGAACGTGTTTTCATTGTAGGTCAAAGTAAATAAATTACATGCTGAAACCGCTTTCACCATTTTATACATATTGGTATATTCAATCAATCTTACATCCGCATCCTTTAGAAAATAATCTATAAATAATTTATAAGTTTTTCTATAAAAAGTTTAGAGCAGTGCATATATATACACATTTTTTGTTAGATTAATATAATATATTTCTTTGTCTTCATTTCAGAAGCGACTTGAAGAATTATCCCGACAATTGGCATGGACGCGTTCTCTAACAACGTCGCCTTTACGTAGACGTGATATATGCTTGGCGACTTCTATCGTTTTGGCAGCCCTGCAAGATGCTGCTGCCAATAAAGGTCAACTATTTGCCTTCGTGCCCGATTTTTACGTGGAAGCCTTATGCCAATTGACATCTGCTGTCCGAGACTTAGGCCATGCAAATCAACCAAAGCCGAAAGATTTAGAAGGTAACATAATAAAAAAATACTAAAAATAAATTTTTCAGAAGGTGTAATTCATAAATATATTTCAGAATATGTTCCACTGTTAGAAGGAGTGGCATCTTGGCTTTGCATGTACTTTTCTGACCCCAGAGTGATTCTGGCTGGTTCCAAAGACAGTCTGGTTCAAGGCCTTGGTTCTTTGGCTATGTGTCCAACTTCTTTGAGGGCTATGGAGCGAGTACCAGTAGAATGGTAAAATAATTTCTTCATCAGCAAAGATCAAAGATTTAATTATGTTTTTATTATATTTGATTTTTAATTTGTATTTCTATAGTCGTGTCAGCATGGTGAGATCCCTCCTTCGTCCATATGAAAATCGCGCTTGGGCGCAGAGCAATTGGCTTCTTGTACGTTTTTGGCAGGGACGTGGTTTTGCATTTCGTGAAGCCAGAGCACCTGAAGGATTTTTGGCCCCAGTTCCTAGACCTAATCCAACTATGTCTGATACGGGACTTCTTCACAGATATTGTGGTAAGAAAGGAGATAATTCAAGTCACAATTATTACCAAATAATTATTAATTGTTGCCAAATTGTTCTTTAATCCCATAGAGCCATGTCCATCAGAAGTGTTTCAAACACATGTTGGAGAATTATTAAAACAAGAACAATTGGCTACTTCATTTATAAACTCGGTTTTGAATCAACTGAACTGGGCGTTTTCCGAATTTATTGGAATGCTACAGGAGGTAATTTAACTAATAAACCAAATTAATACTAGAATACGTTTGGTTAATTGTTTTTTGTACATTTAGATTCAAAATATTTCTCTTCGTCCTGAACGTGTTTACATAGAATCTCGTCAGCTTAAAATATGCGCCACTTGCTTTGAATTAACAGTTTCTCTTCTGAGAGTCGTGGAAATGGTGACACATGTGGCACCGCAAGTGTTTTTAGATCAAACTTTGCCAGCAAGTGATTTACTTTTATCTAGATTATTACAGGTAAAAAATATAATTATATATCTGCAGAATTAATGTAAAATTTAAGTTTTCAATTCACAATCAAAATCATTGTTCAAAATAAAATTGCAATGAGTGTTGGGTAGTTACCACAAAAAGATTCAGTATTTTGGACTTTTTTTTTCATACCATCTCTATATGACTTTGCAATTTTGATGTAAATAATCAAAAAATATATTTTTGATTTATCAACAGTTGATCTGCCAAATATTGAATCGTGTAAGTAGTGCATCAGGATGCTTTCAACATGCAGTAGGTCTAAGTCTTCCTGATTTAGGAGTCGTTGGTCACTTCTCAATATTATCAGCGGCTGTTGGAGTTCTCTTAGGATTGTTGAATGGAGAGATTCTCGCCAAAGATTCAGCAATGCCGCAAGTAAGAGTTTTTTTAATATCATATAATAATATGTACTCAAAATTATATTGGAAATCTATGCGAAACTTCATTGATTTAATACTTTTTTATGTAGGTACCTCGTGTTTGTCGGGCCTTACTGACCGAACCTTCATTTCAAATGAGTTCTTTGAAATTCACTTTAGGTCTTGTCCCGCTGCCACCAAATGTGCCGCCTCCAGTGGAGACATTTTCTTTCAGCAATTGTGAGTGTAATAAAATATGGTGCAATTTTGAACATTTTATCCAATGTTCCAAACTTAGTTATTAGATCTTTATCTCTATTTTATCTTTCAGTTCCTAATAGTGTAAGCGTAAGTGAATTAACACAGCTACACAAAGTCCTCGATTTCCTGGAAGAATACCAAAATTTACTGAGTGCATCCACAATTTTGGGCGATGATGTTGCCTGTCCAATTTGTTACGCAAGACCCCTCAGTGCCTCTTTTTCACCCTGCGGACACATGTCCTGCGCGTAAGTTATTTTTATAATTTTTTAATAAAGAGGATTCTAAATTATAACAAATTCTTTCCTCAGTGCATGCATAGCTCATCATCTAATGAATTCACGAAAATGTTTCTTCTGCATGGCCCGAATTGATAAAGTATACGATCTTCAAGGTGCCGTTTTGCATGTTCTTCCTGCTTCTTGACGACTATAAATACACAAAAAAAGTTGTAAATGGCAAACCATACCAAAAATAAACTGTTTTTATACTTTATTTAAAAAAATACTTTTTTTATTATACTAGTCCTTTTTATGTATTTAAGCAATACTAAAAAACACAATTTTGTATTGATGGTAATAAATACTACTCTACATTTGTAACTAATATAAGATGTTAGCTACTTAATCATAATCACTTAAAAATTGCAGCACAATTTTGGTCAATTTTTGGATTGCTTGAATACTAAATATCTATTGTTTACATAAGTTTATAAATTCTAATTCTAATAATATTTGTATTTTTAGCTAATAATGAATAAATGAAAATATATTAGTTTCTTAAATTTTATAAGTTTATAAGATAGTTATTATTGAATATTGATTGCCAATGTCACTTGATATTGACAAATTTATGATCACCTAAAATTTTGTTTCCAAAAGCTCTAGTACAATTCAAAACAAAAACAGGAAAACAAAATCCTGGTAAAATGGATTTCGGCAATCATTTTTAATACAAAAATTTTTAAGTATGAAAAATTATATTTTTTAATAAATTTTGCGTATAAATTTATAAACAATGTTGATATTAGAAAAAGCTCGCACTACCGAGGGCCTGGTGGTGTTGGGAAGTGGCGTTATTTCACATATTTATAAGGTAAATGGTAATATATCAATTTATGACGTGAAAATAATAATATTAATTGTTGTGACTATGATAAAAAATATTGTAATATTGCTTCAGATTTGCTTTAGTGGCGTATGTCCAACATCAACAGGAAGCCAATCTCAGCCCAGTTTTGCATCAACTCTATTTGTTGTATCATGCTGTTTGGTTCTTTTAAGATATTTATCTATAGAAAGTAGCGTATCAAAGTAAGTAATAATGGTATAATATAAATTATTTAAAACAACATTCACTAAACAGTAAGGAACAACTAACTACTAACGATAACAATAGAGTCTGATAGTCTGATCTATATTAAGTTAGTCAGGTAGAATTATATCAGTTTAGAAAATATATGTTTCCTCAGCATCAAGAACCAGCTTATACAATCAAATAGAAAAATGGCATCTTTTCTACTCAGTTCATATATTGCATCTTTCATATCAAATGCTGCCATTGCTCTTATTTGGGAACGACTATTATTTACGCTCAAAGTCTGCTTTCAAGATTGGAGAATTTCTAGCGGAAGAATTGCTTACTATCATCGGAAAGGTTATTCTTCATACTATTAAATAAATCATATAACAATTTTAAATATTGTTTATTAGAAATATGATAACACTTGTGATGCACACATTTATTAATGTCAACCATTATACACATTTATATAATGATAAATTATAAATTATATATTTATAGTAACATTAAAAATATGTATAATATTTAAAAACAATAATGTAATTATAGTCATTCTTTAAATATGACATGATCGGTTTGTCATTGTAATTAGCATTTAGAAATGAACTTTTATTAGAGAAATGAAGTAATAAAAATTGTTGTTGGAAACCAAAAATATATTGAATTTATATCATATTTATTTACAGATACTATGAAACAATTCATGGCCAAGTTATCTGCTTACCTTGCATCAGAAAATGGCTTTGGTATGTTTCAATTGGCGTTTGCTCTAATTGTATTTGGAGGAACGTTGTATGTAACTCATCGCGATGAGTTTCATGAAAACTCCTCTATTTGTGCACCAAGGGCTAAAGAAACACCTGATCAAGAAGTCGATAATGATGAAGAAGTTGACGAAGAAATAAAGAGAGTTTCTTTTGCTGATGACAACATATATGAACATCTTTATACGTAATGTACAGATTTCAACAGTGTTTATTCGTTTTGTCATTTCACATCATTTATAACCATAACAAATTTCTCCATATTTATCCAGTTGTAAGTATGTATTCATTTGCTAATTTTTACTCACTAGTAAAAAAAATTTAAAAATGGAACCTTTGACTTTTTAGTACAAATGCTGTTGGATAGAATAACAACAAAAGGTTACAAATAATTAAATCGTGATGCTTTTGATGTGAACAAATTTTGCAATCTTTAAATACTTACTAGTTACTCCAAGTTCTTCCTAGGTAAGAGCTTGGAGTTGACTCTTGGAGTCAACTCTTGGAGTCAACTCTTGGAGTAAACTCTTGCAGTTGACTCTTGGAGTTGAGTGTTAGCTCAACAAGTTCCAGATTTGATACCCACTTCGATCAGCTTGGTATCAAGCAGTTAATATTGAATACTTTAAATTTTCACTTAACATTATTAATATAAAATATAATTTTAATTAAAGATAAAATATGCCTATCAGGGCATTTTTACATTACATCACATAACTATAAGAGAAAAAAAACTATTAATCTTATCATAAAGTGAATGGTAAACTTTTAAGATGGATATTAATAACGCCTAGGTAAATGATATTGCAGTATAACCATAGATAAGGAAAAATACAACTCTCATAAAGCATATGATCCTCTTTGCTGTTTAAATATATTCTTAAACTATTAAATTGACAATATATCGTTTTTGTTTTGTATTTATGACTTTATACCTATACTCTTCTTTATCTCTCTTTTTATATACTCTTTTTTATATACTCTTTTTATACCTATACTCTTTTTATACTCTTAGCTTTTACCTGTGATTTACCAGCTAGGTAAATATTCTTCTTTAACCTGTGATCTATGGTTCTTGCCAACTCCTTAACATGTCCTTAACCATATTTAACTCTTGTGCCTATGGTTTTTGCCACATTCTTTTATCTATGGTTTCCAATCTTCTTTTGTCTATTGTTTTCACCGCAAGCCCCCTAGCACTGAAAGGCAAGTTTGAATGTAGTAATAAATACCATAATTTTAAATTATATTTTTAATTATGTGGATACTGGGGGTAGTTTAAATTTCACTATTTCATTTCTACGTCGGATACAAAAATCCAACAAAATATAATCAACAAATTTCAAGGTTTCGATTAAATACTGTATTTGAAATAAAATTTACTCAAAAAACTATTATACTAAAATGTTTCCGAATTATTTCTAAAAATGATAAGCTGCCCCTTTTCATTTATAATTGAGCTTGACCATGTTTCCATCTCTAGGATTGTATGTTCTATGGATTGAGTAAGTAAGTTTAGCTGAGACACAAACCACGTAATTCATTTGGAATGCAATCAAATTATAATCAGCTAGTTGAATATTTATTACATCTGATAAATGAAAGAAGTATTATATATAAATACACACTTCTTTTATCTATGTCTAAATATATTTTAAGAATAATACTAATCCAATTTCCAGGTACTAAACCAATTTTACAGGTGTATCTTTCTTATCTATGGATGCGACGTCCATTATTATCTCTTTGAGTTCGCCATCTTTGAAATTTAATATGCCCTCTCTGTCCTTGAATGAATTGACTTTGACGGTGACGCGCGTTCACTTATGTTCAGTGACAGAAAATTTTTGGTTATATGTGTTTAATTTAATTTTTTTAGTAATTATTGTTAATTAAATTGTGTAAATCGCTTAGTGTTATAGTTTAAAAGGTAAGTTGCAAATATTTTTTAAGATTTTGATATGTAGGACGCATTTTTTTTACATAACCTCGTGGAGGTTAATGTTCCACGTTTCTTTTTAAAAGAAATTATTAGGTTTTTTTCGAAAGCTATATAATTGCTGCTGCATTAATATATATTGTGAATGGCCGACCTAATATTAGTAAAAAAATATTCATTTTGTTACAAGAAAATTCTTGCTTTTAGGTTAACATATTTTCAATGTCGGATGACTAAAATTTTTACATATGGATGTAGTAATAACCTCTATTTTTTACAATTAGTTTTACAGAGAAATTTCTGAAAGTCCCGCATTTTTAACTTATATTTGCTTTTTCTATTTTCAATAAATAATTCAATTTTCTTAATGCTCTGAAAAAAAAATATGATGAATCATTAATAAACCAGGTAAAAAGTACAAAGTTCTATAAATATACAGTTTCCTAGGTGAAATCAATTTTCAAGTTAAACTTTTTCATGTATTGAAATATTGACAAAAAAAAAATTGATATCTTCATTGAAATCTCCATTTTGTTTTAAGAAGCACCATTTTGAATTTTGAATATGATTATTTTTTAAAGATTTGGTTTAGTTAGTTACATAATAGGTTTCCAAACTTGTTTGTTTTGTGCCCCCCTTGGACTTTGGCATGAATCCCCTATTTACCCGATGTAGATTTTTAAACTGTACTAAAATTTATTATTAAAGACTTAAAGTAAAAGTAGAAATCATCAAGTACAAAGTACATGATGCTTTTATATATTAATTGAATGTAAAATATTGAAAAAATAAAGTAAGCGAGAAGTGAATGCTTATTTATCATCATTTGGCTACAATTTTGAAAGGTTTAATCTTACATCTCTTGACTAATGGTGTCCAGTTTACATCTTTGTTTCTGTTAGTAACAGAACACTAAACCTTCCTTCTACTGTTCATTTTACAAATATTAAATAATCTTTTATCGTATTCAGAAATGCAACAGCAGTCTCAAAAAGCACAAAAAATGTCGCTAAGCCTTTATTAAGTTATAAACATATGGCAACAATTTTATAACGTTTAATCTTACGTATCCTTGCTAACAATGTCTACTATTCAGCCTACATTTTTTCTTTTTTTAGGAGATCAGTAATAACACTGAACCTTCTTTCTGCTGTTCATTTTACAAATATTAAATTTTTTATTGTATTCAGAAAGACTACAGCAGCCTTAAAAAGCACAAAGAATGTTGCAAAGCCTTCATCAAGCTATCAACATGTGGCAACAATTTTGTAAGGATTATTTTTACATATCTTTGCTTATGATGTCCGCTGTTTAATCTACATGTTCTCATTTTTTTAATAAGAGATAAGTAATAACACTAAACCTTCTTTATGCTGTTTATTTTACAACTATTAAATCATTTATCTTTATTATTCAGAAAT